GTATAGAAATTAACTATTGTGAAAAATAGTAACTTTCTCTAGCTTTGGATAAACTGTTTAAATGTAATCTCTCTCAAAGCATAGCATCAGCACTGTAAATTCTTAAATTAAAAGAGGTGTTGACTGTGGAAACAAAGAATTTGAATTCCGTTTTCTTTTCTACCAGAGGAGCATTCTTTACAAAATGGAAATGTATATGATATAAACAGACATTTTTGGTTGTGTAAAAGCAACTGTTATGTAAGACTTCTCAAGGAAAATTCTTAAACTATAAAAATCCTTAATTAAATTAAGCTAAAATGAAGATATTGTAGTGATAAAACTATGACCTCTGATGTGAAATAAGGTCTTATACAATATGTTGATTATCTACTTTTTGAAATTGTGTAAGATGCATAAGAAACCATATGTTGTTGTTCAAAATTTAATTTGATTAGCTTTAATTGCTAACACCCGTGCAAACTAAAAACACATACGATGTGCTAATGCAATAACTGATTCAATTCTAAAGTACTTTGGAATACATGATACTTATTGCATAAATTTTATATTTCATGAGAGAAGACCTGATTTTCTGCTAGTCAATTACTTTTCTGTGCATGAAATCATTCCATAATAGTTAATCATTGGCATTTGTCTTTATGCATTATCTTGTGTGTACTTTTTGTTTGGTTGGTTGTTTTTGGATTATAAATTTCTAGTGCCCAGACCCAGTCTAACAATAATCTATGTATAAAATAGTAATTTAAGTTATTTCTATTCAAAATCTTGATCAGTTTCCAAAACTGAATAACTAACCAGACTAAAAATTTCCAAAACAACCTTTGGACAACTGCAAAACAACATACAGTATTTTAAAAGCTGTTGTGAGTAGCCTTTGGAAACATCATGACAAAAACTACCTCTTGAATTAATTTCTTAGCTGTATTAATAGGTAAATAATTGGGGAAAAATCTACTCCACCTAAGTAATCCTACTCTACAGAAGTGGTATGGGGGTTGCTGTGAAGCCTTCACCCCTTTATTGAGGTTGTTATTCCACATGGGCTGGAATAGTAACCTGAGCTCCTGTCTGCCACTTGAGTGGGGTGGGCTTATTTGGGGTGCTTATGAGCCATGTTGCCAGTGGTTCTCTCATTACATGTGCACATTTGCCCTGAAACCACAGTTGTAGAGCTTGTGCTAATATGAGCAATATTAATTCCCACAAGCATTTCCCCTGAGAAAATTACTGTGTTTGGAGGGAAGCATAGTGTGTAAAATGGCTATGCCTCACTTACATCGCCAGTCCTGACTCACCGTGCAACCAAGTGGCAGGACATTGGCAAGCATGAGGAAAGCATCTAATGTTGGCTGCACTCCTCCCTTCATTTAGGACCCTAGCTTGCTTTCCCCCCCCCGTGCTGCCCTAAACATGGAACTACAGGGCCTGTAGAGGCAGTGGGAACATTTTAATTAAAAATTGTATAAGACTCTCCTGTTCGTATTTTTATGAAGCCTTTGAACTCGAATACCAATATTTTCAAACTTGGGTGCCTACTGTTGAACACCGAAAACTATATGTAGGCAGCTAATGAATGGGCCTGATTTTTAGAGCTGCTGAGCACCCAAATCTCTTATTGACTTCAGAGGGAAGTGCAGTTGCTCAGCACCTGTGAAAAGCAGGCCACTTAACTAGGTGTCTAATAGGGGTTTGGAGGTCTAATTTTAGGCACCCATCTTTTAAAATTCTGTCCGGCATGATCTTAATGGAACAGTTAACATTTTTCTGTTGACATCATGAACATTTGAGTGTACAAGATTAATCTTGGTCCCCGTGGTTCCAACTCAATGTTTAGGGTTATTTCAGTTTGTCAACATGCCATGTGTGCCCTTTGCAGCACAGATAATATAATGCAAAGTAACTTCTCTTCCTTCACATCATCCACTTTTCAAAATAAAAGAATTTGGCTATTTCATATTTAAAGAGAGAGAGAGGAAAAAAACACCCATGAATTGACAGGGGGAACTAAGGCCCCAACCTTAAACCAGTCTTGTCAAATGTGATTTCTTTACTTTGAGCCTCAACTGCCTTTAAAGGTGGGAACGTTTTCTTATCAGTCCCAGAGCTGATGTTTTTAAGTGGTGAAATATTTTCATTAAAACAGGGCACTTTTCCCAGTTTCATTAAGAAAAATGTTTAATAGCTGAAGGAAGTAGCATGTTCCTGTATTAAATCTGGCATCTGCATCCAAGTGATACAGAGTTTCATTTGGCCTATTTTATTTTTTTTTTTTTAAAAACACACATATAGTACACAAGTGTGCTGTATATCTTTTTATGAAAAGTGTCTTTGAAAAGGACATTGGTTTTGGTAGAGAGATCTTTTCACCAGGCTGATTAGTTTATAAGCCATTTTTCCCCAGTGTATGCTGTGGTCGAGGCAACATTTATCAGTTCTGTTACCAGGTTTGCCCATTACTTTGGGGTACGCTCATTTATTAGGGTTACTCTTCTGGTGGTGGGGGGTGTTTCTGTAATTCTGTCAATGTACTGCTTGTGTCACTTGTGTTTTCATACGGAGCTCTACTTCTCCCTTCTGCAAGTTCCCTCCCAATGGAGCTATCCTGCAGGACCTAGGTTCCCCAGCCTCCAGCCCCAAAATCAGATGAACACACACATACACATTAACAGAGCGCGTCTCAGCAGACTGGGTCAATCAGCACTCCCAAGCTGACCCCTTATATGTCCCTGGACTCAGCAGGCTGGGTTGAGCAGCACCTCCAAGCTGCCATCTTCATATGCCATGGGCACTGCACTGGAATAGAATACATCTGAACAGGCTGGGTCAAGCTGCACTTTCAGGCTGCCACCCTCCTATGCCACAGGTTCAGCACATCCCTATCCCCACTTTCACGTTACAATTGTTCTGGTAGTAACCCACTTGATGAGCAAACCCCACAGGATTTTTGGGCGCTACAGGGATCTTTAGCTTAGGTAAGAGAAGCGTTGCTGCAGAGCAAATGAGGAAGCCAAAAACACAGGAGAGAGAGAGGGAGGGAAGCAACCAGCTTAACCATAAAATTTATTTATTGCCAGGTAATAACCATACAAGTGGAGCCAAACAAACAAAACAGTTACAGTATTAAATCTAGCTTAAATTTGATTACAAATGTCAAGTTTAGAAAACTATACCTGATCACACAAGTCAGGGTTAGAAAGCTATACCTAGAGTAGAAAAAAAACAACAAAAACAGAGAGTTGGGTTCTCACCACTCTGAAGCTTGAACCAGTCAGGGTTCCCAGGTGGTGGTGGTAGCTGAGGTTCCAGAGTGGTGGAGACAGGCAGAGCCCCCAGCACGATCAGTCAGGAGAAGATGAAGTTCCAATGGAACTGATGCAGATTTTGGATCCAGGCATCAGAACATTTACTTGAGCATGGGTAGGGGTTTTTGTGGGGAAACAAGGGAGAACACTAGATTTGTTTATGGGTAAACTGATGGCTCAAGGGAGTACACCAAAGTTGTTTTGTTCAGGCTAGACAATAGGAACTGATAATTCCTGGCTATGCGCGGTGTTCCTTCAAGGGAGCTCGCAATGCAATTAGGCAGCTTCAGTATTTTGGATATCAATAAAGGATTTATTACTAGTATTGGTCTGATAACTACTGAGCTGGGTGTGTGCAGGCATGGGTTCATTAACATCTGGAGCAGAGATCCCCCATCATGCAGTGTTTCCCTGCTTTTCTGGTCCCAGAGTTCAGTGCGGTTCTTGCCTTGGAATCTTTGTTCTCCATTCTGTATGCTAATGGAGATGCCTCCCTGTCCCATCTTCGATGCAAATGAGGCTAGGGGAGTTGCCTTAATCCTGTCACCCTTGTCCGGAGGGATTTAGGTGTGTCTCCCACTGCTTTTTCATTGCTTTTTGTAAGTCTTTCTTCTGATTGGTTTTGGTTCAAGCAGAGGCGGGGGGGGGGGGGGCGGGAAAGGAGGATGTCCTTCGTGAGTCAGACAGGCTGGATACCGTGCCCTGGTTCCCCAAGAACACAGAGCTGACAGGTAACATAACTGTTAAAATAAAATACTGTTATTAAAGGATTGTAACTCAATTAATTGAGTAATAGAGCAGGTGCATGTGGAGAATGCACAGGGGGAGTGGTCCCTGTTTTAAAGATCATGGCCCATGCTTACATTGCTTTCAGAAATAGCATATTGCTTAGATGACTAGAATTTTAAAGCTCATTCTAAAGTTTTAGCTACTGAAAACTGCCATTTTAATTAAAAGCACTGGAAATGGTTTTGTCTTTATAAAAGATTACACTAATTTAAGCCTTTTTCTCCTAGGAAAAAATAATTTCACACTTGATCAACAAGATTTCACTCAGCACAAATGCAAATATTTAAATGGTCGAGTTAGTATCCTAAAAGGCAAAGCTTAGAATAGAAAAGTAAATGATCTGTCCCAATTTATAAAGTGGACCGTTAACTATAGCCACCAAAAGATGCTCTAAACATTAATCTGATGTTACTTACAGTGTAGTAAATCGGAAGTAGCGTCACTGAAATCATTGGAGTGCACTGATGTAAAACTCATGTATTTGCAATCAGAATCAAATCCATTGTCTTTCGGTTTTTGTTTATCTTGGACTGAATTATGGCTCATGCCTCTGCATAAACTCTCCCCTCCCCACAAATATTTCCCTAATACATAATGTGTGAAATATTGTCATTACATTCATACTTAAAAAAGAAAACCTCTAATTGCCATTCTAGTCTGACAAAGTACCTCTTTCTAAAGAAAATGCTGTTATCCCAAAATGATAAGAGATGTGAAATTACAATGGAGAGTTTTGAGAGTACTTGAAAGTAAAGCTATGCTAACTTAATCCTACAGTGCTGGAGTCTTTGTGGAATTTCGAGATAACAGCTTGGACCCATTTAAGTCAATTTAATAATTTTTGGCAAGATTTGCTGCTGTTGATTTTTCTTACAAATTTTCCTTTTGCATCTTTCAGAATGAGGACTATGCTATTACTGCAGTTGTGAGAAAACTTCTACATCCATCTCCTCCTCCTTCCAGAGTGCTGTCAAAATGAGTGAAACGCCATCAACTAATTATTCAATGCTTCAGCCAAACTCCTCTGAGAGTGAACAGACTTTGTCTACACGTCACTTCAATGTCACCGAACCTGTTGTGGCCAAACGAATCTGTTTCTATAAAAGTGGAGACCCTCAGTTTAATGGGATCAAAATGGTCATTAATAATAGATCTTTCAAAACATTTGATGCCTTGCTGGATAACTTGTCCAAAAGAGTCCCAATACCATTTGGGGTGAGGAATATTAGTACACCACGCGGGATACACAGTATCACCAATCTGGAGGACCTTGAAGATGGAAAGTCTTATATTTGTTCCCATCAGAAGAAAATTAAGCCCATTAATTTGGAGCGGGCCAGTAAGAAGCCATTACCCTGGCAGATCAGCAGGCCAGTTAGTGCTCGTCGCCGAGTTGTGCAGTTAGCCAGGGAGAAAGAAGACGGCATTGTTCAGGAAGACAGAGCTGTCAAAATAAGAACCCCTAAAAAGCTCCTTGTTTTCAAAAATGGTGACATAAGAATCAGGTGCACTATAGTTCTGAGTAAGAAGAACATGCAAAACTTTGAGACCTTTCTGGATTCCATAAGTGAGTTAATGCAGTATCCAGTTGTGAAGTTATACACTACGGATGGCAGAAAGGTTAGAATAAACAATGGCATGAGATATGCTTTTCACAATGTTTGCTTTTATAATATTACCAATGTTATCAAATGATTTGGTTGCTTACATGGCTGGTGAACGCTCTGACCAGTGTAAGGTCCCTGTGCCCTGACCATCAGCTATCTGCTGCCTTCCTTGTAGATCTGCCTCTGTACACTTATGGGCCTTTAAAAAAAGATAGTCAGTTTTGAGGAAGGATGCACACTCATCTTGGGACTGCAGTGACTGAAGCGAGAGAATTTTAATCCTAGGTTTTCATGGAAGCCCACCAGTCTTCTCTTAAACCACTCTTAAACCTCTTAAAGACTCTATGTCTTCTAATGACAGCTTTTCCTGGACAGGATGCTTTTCTAGTCCTTTTTCATGCATGCCTTCAACATATGTCCACTCATCCAATCACATGTAACCCTTCCATAGCCCTGCCTCACAATTAGGACATGCATTAGGCAGAGCTCCTTTAGAACGCTACCTCTGTTCCCTTAAGAGATGGTCTATTAATGCAGCAGAACAAATTCCTGTACCTACCCATCCCACAGGAGTTGTGAGCATCTTCACTATGATGTATTCAAGTTGTCAGGGCCTGACTAAGTTCACCTTAGGGTACTTAAGGAACTAGCTAAAGAAATCTTTGAACCATTAGTGATTATCTTTGAGAACTCATGGAGAACCATGAGGTACCAAAGGACGGGAAAAAGGAAAACATAGTACCTATCTTTAAAAAGGGAAACAAAGAGGACCTAGGGAATTACATGCCAATTAGCCTAACTTTAATACCTGGGAAGATACTGGAACAAATTACTAAACAATCAATTTGTAAGCACCTAGAAGATAATAACGTTATAAGTGGTAGCCAACATGATTTTGTCAAAAGCAAATCATGCCAGACCAACCTAATTTCCTTCTTTGACAGGGTTCATGCCCTAGTAGATTGGGGTGGCAGGGAAGCTGTAGATGTGATATATGTTGATCTTAGTAAGGCTTTTGACACAGTCCCACATAAGCAAACTAGGAGGATGTGGTCTAGATGAAATTACTATAAAGTGTGTGCATAACTGGTTAGAAAAAAAAAACTTAAAGAGTATTTATTGATGGTTCACTGTCTAGCTGGGTGGACAGATCTAGTGGAGTCCTATATGTGTCTGTTCTAGGTCCAAAACTAGTCAACAGTTTCATTAATGACTTGGATAATGAAGTGGAGAGTGTGCTTATAAAATTTGAACATCACACCAAGCTGGGAGGTGTTGCAACCTCTTTGGAGGACAGGATTAGAATTCAAAATGACTTTGATAAATATGACTGAAATCAAAAAGATGAAATTAAATAAAGACAAATGCAGAGTACCACACTTAGGAAGGAAAAATCAAATTCACAAATATAGAATGGGGAATAACTGACCATGCAATAGTACTGCTGAAAATAATCTGGGGATTATAGTGGATCACAGATAAATATGGGCGAACAATATGAAGCAGTTGTAAAAAAGGCTAATATCATTTTGGGGTGTATTAACTGGATTGTCATATGTAAGACATGGGAGGAAATTGTCCTGCTATACTTGACACTTGTGGGACCTCAGTTGGAGGATTGTGCCCAGTTTTGGATGCCATACTTTAAGAAAGATGTAAACAAATTGGAGAGAGTCCAGAGGAGAGCAAGAAAAATGATAAAAGGTCTAGAAACCTGATCATGAGGAAGAGTTAAAAAGAAACTGGGCATATTTAGTCTTGAAAAAAGAAGACTGACTGGGGACCAGATAAGTCTTCAAATATGTTAAGGGCTGTTATAAAGAGGGTTGTTCTCCATGTCTCTTGAAGCTTAATGTGCAGCAAGGAAGATTTAGGTTATATCTTTGGAAAGAACATTCTAACAATAAGGATAATCAAGTACTGGAATAGACTTCCAAGGGAGGTATTGGAATCCTGTTACTGGAAGTTTTTAAGAAGAGGTTAGACAAACACCTGTCAGGGATGATATAGATATAGTTGGTTCTGCCTGTTGAGGTCCCTTCCAACCCTACATTTCTGTGATTCCATGACAATGTAATTGCTAATGTAAGAGCAAAAGTACCTAGACTCAAAACTAAAAGTCAGATTTCCTGTATGGCTACTACATTGCTGAGGAACGCTCACAATGCCATAAACTAAGTAACCTTGATTTTTATCCCTATTTCTCTATATTTTTAATGTTCAAAGGATGAAATTGCTATAAGCAATGCTCAACAGTATTATGTTCTTCATCTGTCTTTGCCACCCATGAGTTACGGCTATAAAACCTAATATAAGGTTATCTTACATTTTATAAAGTGTGGACCAAATTCTAGCCCCAAAAGCCTGAAATTTCCAGAAACAATGGGCCTGATTCTCCTCTCGCTTACACAAGTTGTACATTGTTGTAACTTCATTAACTACAATGGAGTTTCTTCTGGTTTACACTGGTATAACTGAAAGGGGAATCACACTCAGCTCAACTGATCACTCATGCAGGGTGAATCTTTCACCTTCCATCTGGTGAAGATGTGATTTCTGTGTTCGGTGTCCACAAGTAGACATGAAAGAGAGAAAGGGGCATGTCACCTACAAGCTAGCAAAGCACAATCCATGAGGCTCAAATTCCTTGTAATTGGAGGAGCAGGAAGCCAGGTCCACTACTAATTCTGTATATTTGGCAGTATGCAGCCACAGACCACCCATACAAGAGTCCGGTAATATATTTTGTGGCTGAAGATTCTTCCCTTCACTGACTCATAACACACACTCTCACTCAGTCATTTTATGGCTGTTGATTGATTCTATATTGGGATAAATCCAAACTCCATTTCCAAACTCTTGAACTTCAGGGAAATATTTATCTGGATCCAAACTTTGCTTGATAGTATCATCTTCTAATATATTTACACACTTACTTACAAAGACACAGGAAGTGCATTACCCCATGTGGAAATAAATTCCATTCTGGAATAAAATCCAGCCCTTTGTAATAGCCTGCTGCAATGCTATATATGTATAGGGTAGAAAGTGAAGAAAAAACTATGTGGAAAGACTATACCTGTTGTATTATTACTGTTTGTTACTGATGCAGAGAAATTGATTTGTTGTTGTGTTTTTTTCCCCCCCAGGTTCCTAACCTTCAGTCTCTGATCTTGTGTTCTGGGGCTATTGTGGCAGCTGGGAGAGAGCCTTTTAAACCAGGGAATTATGATCCTCACAGGTATTCACTACCTGCTAAGTTGCCGGGACTCTCCAATCGTGTGTACCCCAAAGCAAATGCCAAATCAGAGAGCAGAAATAGTAAGTCCCTTTAATTATTTTGTATTTTCTCAAGTGATTTATCTCTTTCACATTTTAATGTTAAAAAAAAAGAAACCATAGCGATCTGATTGGGATCAAGGGTATTCAAGCAGGCCAGTTGAAACAAAACTATTTATTTTTGCTCAGATTTCCTCAGTAGGCATCAGAAGGATCAAAGAATTAATTTTCATTTTGGAATTCAAGTTTCTGTTAAAAATTCAGCTGGCTTACATATTTCCTTTCAAACAGAATTATTTGGACTTGTAAGTGAAGCTATCAAGGCATATTTTAAAATGGGCTGATTGTTGCTAATCTATCCACATCATGCTACAGCAAGGGTAAAAGAAAGCACACAGTTTGATACAGAGAACAAATGTATGTCTCCCTTCTAGTTGAACTTTCTGATGGTATTACAGCAGAGCAAATGTATTATCATACAGTGTTCAGATCTTAGCTCAGTAAATGAATAGGGATATCTTGTCATATCCTTAATTTCATATGTGCCCATACCTAACTAAAGCAAATTGGGAAAAGCAAGGAAATAAGCAGTTAAGTTATTCAGTATCCAGGTGCCCTCCACGCGTTTCAACTTCAACTAGTTCCTTTCCACCACTCTGTGCCCACGTGTATCTTCCCCCTCATCCTGAACAGTCAGTATGTAGCCTTAACTCTGTTTATTGGCCACGTGTTCATGTGTTTTCATTTAAAATAGGTGTGGTGTGACTTTCATAAAGTTACAGTGAACATTGTATTGGTTTGTGTAAGTGAGGTACACTGTCAGGTTGCTGATCATTTGTCTATCTAAAGTGCTTATATGGTCCTGCTACCATAGCATTCAATGTATCCATCCACACAACATTCAAGAGAGGTAGAGAAGTACTAATATCTCCATTGTACAGACAGGAAACTGTCACAGAGAGACTAAGGGTTACATTTATAAAAGTGATTAGTGATTTTTGGATGCTTCAGTGTTTGGGTGCCCAACTTGAGACACCTTAGGGGTCTGAATTTTAGAAATTGCTAAGCACCCACCCTCTGTATTTCAGGACCCTTTAAGATTTCTTAATTTAGACACAGATGATCCTGAGTCACTTTTAAAAATGTAGGTCTTAACAACTTGCCCAAGATCACACAGGAAGTCTGGGGTAGAATGGGACTTGAAAGTTGAATCTCCTGACTCTCAACTAGTTCCCACAACAGGGCACCATACTTCCTCACATCCTTATGGCTGCAACATGTTTTTCAGTAGTGTTTGGGTAAAGTTATGTGAATAGGTGATTTCCACTTGGCTCCTCATGGAGCTGCTACACGGGGTGCCTGATGAACTGAGGAAAGAGAGAGTGAGGATGTTGGGGAAGCCTAGAGGTGATCAGGCATGAGGGGATTTTGAGGAAGAGAACTTTATGGGGGGAGATCAGGTCTTTCTGGAGAGCCTAAGATGTGTGGGGGAACACAGTACTTCTGTGGCAAGGCATTAGCTCATCTAGGGCTTCGTGACACTACTGCCTCTGCTGCTCACCAAGACACCAGTAAAGTTTCCTGAAGTGCTGGAGAACCAAGGAAGCAGTGCTGCAGGAGCTAATTTTCCATGGTGCTCCTGCCTTGCTGTGCTGAGGAGCCAAAGCAGCATCAACTGCCAATGCCTCTGCACAGAGACACTAAGCTCCCATTCACACATCCCCGCCCAGTGTCCCTGCTGAATATCTCATGTCCCTAAGTCCACTCTCTTTAGTTTGTCCCAACTTCCACCCTGTAGCCCGCCCTGATGTCTCTTGCCCCATATGTCATCTCCTTGGTCGCCAGGGCTATGCATACAGGATAGCTGATGAGTTAAGAGAACAAGTAGCAACATTCTGAGGCGAATGAAATTACTACAAAAATCAAAGTTGTCAATAAGTTTTTCTCTTCCATCTAAATTTTGCCTATAATTATAGTCAAGTTGGCAGCATATGGAAGTAGCTGACAGATCTGGAAAGTTTCATCACCTAATATTGGGCAAATGCAGTTAAAGCAAGAGGAATAACTCTTTATGTATTTTACTTTAAAAATTCAAACTGCCCTATGTCAGAGACATCATCAGGTTATAGGAGTGTAAAGTTCAGAGTTTTGGGGAACTTCTGTTGTTTCCATTCCATTTCCAGAGGTGAGTAAGATGAGATTTTTATTTACAGAAGTGAAAGGTCTGGTCTCTGGAACGAGAGCCAGAATGAATTTACCATCATTTCTCATTCAGTTCCTGGAAAAGCCTCTACAATGGTGTAGAGCAGCAGACTCACCCCTGCGGGGCCTCCTGCTGGTGACTTCTGGGAATTAGCTCTTCCAGTGTCCTGGAGTGCCCTCTGCAGGCCAGTGGTCTGCCTTTCCTCTGGCCCCCATGTCCCTCCCAGACCCCAGTGCCCTTTTATCTGGGGTGCTGCCCCCTGGCAGTACACCCCTCAGTACTAGGGTCTCCCCTCCCCAGGGAACCCCAACCCACTATCCCTACCTCACCTCAGAATAAGGCCACTGCCAGTCACCAACTAGCCCCCGCTCCCTGGGGCAGACTGTAGTATAGGCCACTCATCACAGGTAAGGTTGGGTTTGGACCTGCTGCCTTGGCCTACCCATGGGCTGCCCTCTGCAATCCCCAGAACCCCTTAGCCTCCTATTAGGCCACAGCCTGGGGCTATCCAGGCAGGAGCTCCCCAGCCCTGGTCCACTCAGGTACCCTGTGTCTAGCTCACTGCAGCCAGACCCTTCTCTCTCTGAAGGCAGAGAGAGACTCCTGAGCTCTTATACAGGCCAGCTGAGGCCTGATTGGGGCGTGGCCCAGCTGCGGCTGCTTCCCCAATCAGCCTTGTAGCTTTTCCTTTGCCCCAGCCCTGCTCCCTGGCTGTTTTAAACCCTTCAGGGCAGGAGTGGGGGACTACCCTGCTACAAATGGAAACTTGAAAGAGGCAACAAATCTGAAATAGTGTGTGTGTATGCAACAGTAACATGGGTAGTCATGAAAACCTTCACACAAATTCTTTTAGGGCCCACTCCAGCAAACAACATGCTTAACTTTAAGCATGTGAATAGTTCTATTGAAGTCAAATTAATGTTAAGCACATGCTTAAGTGCTCTGCTGGACTATAATATAAATTCCAAACCACTACATAAAGTGACTGAATACTTCTTCTAGAAATGTCATTACCAATTATGTCCTTATATATGTCTTTCTGAATTTGTGTTTGTGTGCACATACTGTATTATTTTAAGTATACATATAAATATACACAAAGCTTAGTGAAGGAGCACAGTTTAGAAAATTCTGTTTAGATTTCTCCTGGTGTACTTTTGGTCTCTCACCTATTCTTTTCACTGTGTGACACTCAAAGATAGATGAGATTTTGTCAGTGCATAGGTGCCGAAACCAGAGTGCAAGGGGTGCTCCCACAACCCTGGCGTGAAGTGGTTTCCATTATATGTGGGGTTTACAGTATGGTTCAATTACTCTCAACACCCCCACTATACAAATTGTTCCAGCACCCCGTGACAATATCAAGTTATTACAAACTAATGCAAACACATTTTAGAAATACTTAACTGTGTGCAGACAAACACATTAGAAGTGAATATGAATATGAATATTCTCATTGCCTTGAATGGTCTTTGGACCAGGTCCTAGAGAACTGTAGCATATATGCACATTGTAACACATGATGTACATTAAAATGCATGATGTAAAAATCTTATTATAAATGTCTGGTTCAAAATTTAAATGTAAACGTATATAGAAGTACATGCTAAGGGCCCAATTCTACAATGTTTACATACATGAATAGTCCATGGTACTACTCAGATAACCAAGGATTAGTCATATAAGTGAAGGGTGTAAAATCAATTCCAGAGAGATTTACTTTTAATTGACGTGTTGTAGCACCCATTATCATTCAGGTTGTTATGTACTGCATGTGCATTTGGATCCATTAATTACTATTCATCCATTAATTACATCATTAATTAATTATATAAAAATCATCAAGAAGTAGTAAAGGAAAAAGGAGGTTCCATGCTTAACATCTTAGGGCCTAATTCTGTGAGGTCCTGTGTGCCTCCTGCAGGGTGGGAAAGCACATTCAACGACCAAGTTGATGGAACTGGGAGCATTCGGCACGTCACAGGCTTAGCACCTTAAAGATTGTAACACAGGTGTTAGAAGGGTCATGTTGCAAAACAAAATAAAGAAAATTGCACCAGCAGGAAAGTTCAGTCTTTACTCTTTATAAAAGTTGTTTTTTTTTCTTTTTATCAGGTTCTTGGAAATGAGTTAGAGAAAATAGACACCTTACTGTAATAGTTTTTCTTTGTTACAATAATTTATTCAATCCCAATGCTCACCCCAAAAAAAAAATTCCCCAAACCTTTCATTGGGTTCCTCTATACTAATCATACTTTGTTTTTTCTTTTTTCTGTCTCCTTTCTTTGCCTCCCTGCCTGCTGTCTTTCCGTCTGGATTCTTATGCATGATGATTATCTTCTACACCTTCCATCTAATATTGTGAATTTGGGTGCTTTCAATATAAATGTTGAAAGTGAGTACACAAATGCCCTCAGGAGCTCAAATTTACTCAGTTTCTTCTGATAAAGGTTACAGCAATGATAATTCAGATTCTTCTTGCATTCCTGACAATTACATGGGCTTAGCAGAAAATCATTCACATGCGGGTGAAGATTTATCGATGGTGCGCTCTGAAGATGACATTGAGAAATCTGTTCATGTTAATCAAGATGGCAGTATGACAGTAGAGATGAAAGTTCGATTCAGGATAAAAGAGGAAGAAACCATAAAATGGACAACCACTGTCAGTCGTGCTGGTGTTTCTGCTGATAAAAATATCAAGATTTGCAATTCTGCAGTAGGTGCAGAGGATCATTCATCTGATTTAAATATTTCAGCATATATAAAACCTACAGAGGCTCCAGTCTTGGAGAACTACAATAATGATGAGAGTGACTCACTGCAGCAGATTAACACA